TGGATCAGTGAAGACGGTTAAGTTTTCGTGGTCAAGTCCATATATCAGATACTATAAGCAGTAGGTCTACTATATTTGGTATATGGAATGATTGTAAGGTGTACATGTCCAACTGGTAGGTGTCATCTGACCTTGACCTCATTTTCATGGTTCAGTGGTCAAAGTTAAGTTTTTGAGTTTTGGTCTTTTTTTCTAATACTATATGCAATAGGTCAACTATAAATGGTGTATTGAAGTATTTTATGATGTACATGTCAGTCTCACAGGTTTTATTGACCATGACCTCATTTTCACGGTTCATTTCTCAGTGTTAAGTTTTTGTGTTTTGGTCTGTTTTTCTTCAACCATGTCAACTATAAGCAATAGATCAACTATATTTGATGTATGGAAGGATTGTAAGGTGTATATGTCTGTCTGGCAGGTATCATCTGACCTTGACCTCATTTTCATGGTTCATTGGTCAATGTTAAGTTTTCATGGTTAAGTTTGTTTCTTAGAAACAATGCAATAAGCAATAGGTCAAATATGTTTGGTTTATTGAATGATTTTAAGGTGTACATGTATTTCTCTTTGGCTTATTTGACCTTGACCTCATTTTCTTGGATCATGTTAAGTTTATGTGTTACTTGTAGTAAAGCTTTGTATTTAGAACTATCAACATAAAATCAATGGTTAGTAAAGAAGGCGAGACATTTCAGCATGTGCACTCTTGTTTTTGTATGATGCAAGGATTTATTCAGATTTAATTATTATGCATGTTTCATTTACAAATGAATATTTAAAAATACCAAAGCAGATCTAGAGTATCTTGTCATATAAATACTTATTTCTTAATTGCAACTCTGAAAATATTCTGACTTCAATTTAATATTTAGTTTCTACAGAAACATAAATACAGTATATATTTTGTATATATTTCTTTGATTTCTATTGAATTAATTAAATTGAATACTTTTGATAATAATACTATCTTTCTGTTTTCCGATCTAATATACACATTCAAACGTGAATGTTCTCTCCTTAGTCTATGATGAAAATACACACGTGGTTATATCTTCAGACATAATTAGTTTACATGTTATCATGACAATGCACAATACCACGTTATAATTGACCTAGATACACACAGCGTACAGGGGTCTTTTAAAACAAATATAATTGCGTTGTCATAATACTTGTTTAGAAACTTTCACATCAAAGTGCTTATAAACATTCACATTATTAAAAACACATATGTTTTGTGAAAAGGCAAAAAGGTTCTTATATTTAAACCATTTATTGACTGCAACCTAGCCTTATTGTTTACTTTCCAATTTACTTTGATGGTGTAATGTCACGTGGTAGCCTAGCCATAGAGGGACCGTATCAAAGAGTAGATAACAACCTGTATAAATGATCGAAAACTTTAGAGACGTTCCGAGAATTTTATTCCGACTTCCGGCCGAGAGATATCGAGTGGCCCATAGACACATCCAAAACTCGCCAATATAAACCTGTGCAAGCCATTTGACCTTGAAAATATATTGCCTCAGGGAGGGTTCACGCAAAAAATTATAAGCATAAATTGTCATATCTCATTCCAACAGAGACTATATGGCTATGAACCTTTAGTCATGGTTAATTGACTTTGGATGTTTTACATCATTAGTTTACATTTGAAGGTAGTTGCCATTTTAATTTCAACATTGCATTTTAAAGTATATCAAAATTATATACAAGCAAGACTTATAATTATCAACGGAGTATTGAACAAAATTCTGTGGATGAAATTTTAAGATATATGTAATCTCCATTAAAGGGAATCCCCTCTTTCTATATAAATTCTATATATATATTTATTGACCTATTTCACTAATCTTTGATTGTTTTATTTGATGGAAATGTTAAAACCTACATATGTATATATCAATTTTTATTTTCAAATGCAGTTTCACAAGTTCTTATAATTAATGCATACAAATTTTCATCAAAATAAAATAAATTACCCATATGTATATATTCACTAAAAAAATATATGTCTAATTTTCATCATGTCCCTGTCGATTTATCATGCAAATTATTTGATTCACTAATTAAACCCATAATTTTATATAAGAGCGAAATTTGGTTTATGGAAGATTATATTACTCAATTTTTAGAGCCATAAACAGAGCCAAAATGCATGGAACTAACTGTGATATTTTCTCCTTGACAGATTGATTCAGCTTTGAGAAAGTGCTTCATAAATTTGTAAAACTGTTCTTGGATTTAAAAAAACCTCATGTAATATAGCTGCAAACTCTGAGTTAGGACGGTTTCCACTTGACTCCTTTATAAAAACTCAAGTTTTATTATATTTTTGTAGAATTAACTGCCATGAAATAAACCCTCTTGTTAAAGAAGCTTCCAAAGTAAATAAGTCTATGTCTGAAGATGGAATATATACTTGGTACACTTCTGCCAAGCACATTTTTAAAAATTTTAATATTGATGAACAAGAATACATTGATTTTGATAAACCTTTTAAACTTATAAAAATTTCACTTAAAAAAACTTTTAAACATATTGTTAAAGAAAAGTATGATAAAATCACTCCTGAAAAACTTTCAAATATCGATAACAGTTCAAAACTTTACCTTTATAGTAAACTTAAAAATGAAATTAAACTGGAAGACTAAAGTTGCTCAATCTAAACAATTTTAATAGTCGTCCACATTTAACAAGTGACCATAACTTGGAAATTGAAATAGGTCGGTCACTCGATATAAAAAAAATTCAAAGAGAACACAGAGTGTGTAAAGTTTGTAAATTTTAGATGATAAAGAACACTTTTTCCTTCATTGCCAAATCAACAGTAATATTAGAAACCCCTAATAAATGCAATTAAAACCCATTATTCTAATTTTAACCAGCTTGACTCAAACTCTAAACTTAAAACTATTTTAGATCCCAATAAACATGATAAAGATATTTTGTCTAATGTTGTATGCTATATAAAGCAATCAATGGAATTGCAAAAAATAAGGTCCACATTGGTCAATTATCTATATATATATATTATTAATATTAACATGACTTGTTTAACACTTTTTTTCATGATTTGTATGTTTCTTGTCACTTGTGTATATCATGTTTGCATTTTAACCCTTCAGGGTTTCACTTTTTGCAATAAAGTTATATATAAAAATTTACAGATAATACTTTGCCTGAATTTTAATGGTTATATTAAAGTACTTTTAAACATTCAAGACCTATGACATGTTTGACATGAATTCCTTTTGTCTTGCCTTGAAGGAGTCAAAAAGCGAGACATATATAGGTTTATAAAAATAAGAAGATGTGGTTATTATATGATTGCCAATGAAACAACTCTCTGAAAAATGTATTCCACAACAAGAAACATGTATCATTCACTGAGTATACAGTTTTGTACCAGCTCTAAATTATCCTAAATAATATGCACATAGAAAATGGATAAATTACGAAGGATTATAATAAGATATACTGGATTGGTCCTGGACCCGCAGTGTTTATTTCATTAATTATGGAATAAGGTTTATATAATCTTTAAGTTAATGAATTTAAATCATGACAATGTATCAGCAGTTCTAAATTTTATATATTTATCCAAAGTATCTAATACAGTTATAACAATATAAAGTCTACCAAAAATATTGAAAGAGCTTAAGTAATGCACATAATATGACTCATCAAGATCGCACTAAAATAACCTGTCTTACTAACTTTGTTTTAAATTCATTTTCAAGGATGGTAGTTGCAATTAGGTCAAACAGAATGTGGTTATTTGATATATAATTTGTAATTTTCATACACACCATTCTCCACCACTGTGAAATAGAGGCACTATATGGGATTATTTGGCTGTGTTTAAAATATTTTATGAAATCTATTATTGGTACCTATTTTGATATTTGTAACCTATTGCATAATTAATTCTTTATATATTGTCATAAATGTCATATAAACAAATTAAAAATGTTTGTGACAAAAGCACATACTGGTATATATTTGATATGAAACATAAAATACAAATGCAAATAAATACAAATATTTTATTGACACAAACTCAATTACAATAATTGGCAACAGCCCATACAACTAGTACACAAATGGTAATGATGCAGCAATTAAACAATACTACATAACATATTAATAGGCACATTTGAACAATGAAATTTGCAGTTATATATATATTAATATACATAGGTTAATATAGAATAGGCTACTGACATACATACATTGTATGTTATAGCTTCATAATGTTCATATTACTCATTTGTCAGGACATTTTTCCTTAATTCAAATGATTGATTAATAAAAGATGATATTAATCTAAGTGTTTTCTACACTTGTTATTAAGTAGTAGTTTGATATATTCGTCCTCAGTTTTGGATTGTTTGTCATAATTTTTAAAATTGGACAATTTTGATATAAGGACATTTCTTTGTGATTCATATTTTGTACAGTGCAAGATAAAATGTTTTTCGTCTACTATTTTATTATTATGACATAATTTGCACAACCTTTCTTCTCTGTTAACTCGCAGGTACCTGCCACTTTCAATTTCAAGATTGTGTGCACTTAGCCTAAGTTTTGTCAAAGGTGCCCTAGCTATCTTTCAACATATTCAATTGATCAACATAGTGTGCACGTTTATTTGAAAAACAATAATGTGGAAAAAATTATAATTTTTATGATTCCGTAATATATGAATTCTGTTCCTGTAAAATTTGGTCATGAATTCGTTGTTTTATTTGAGCAAGCATAGGTTTAATAGGTACATGGAAAGATGTTAAATACGAGAAGCCTAGATTTTGGATACATTTCTTCATATTACTTGTCCATATGTTGTTTTCTCTTTTTTAATAAAAATGTCAAAGGCTTTTTTTAAATCAATAAATGCAGCATAAACCACTCCTATGTTTAGTCCTGTATTGTTCAATAATTGATTCCAATGAAAAAATATGATCAGCTGTTCGATTATGTTCCATAAAACCAATTTGGTTTTTATACGACCGCAAAAAATTTTTGTGGTCGTATATTGGTATGACGTTGGCGTCGTCGTCGTCCGGCGTCGTCGTCGTCCGAAGACACATTGGTTTTCGCACTCTAACTTAAGTTTAAGTGAATGGATCTCTATGAAATTTTACCATAAGGTTCAATACCACAAAAGGAAGGTTGGGATTGATTTTGGGGGTTATGTTACCAACAGTTGAGGAAAAAGGGGCCAAAAAGGGGCCAAAAATAAGCATTTTTGTAACTTCCAGACATAACTTGTGTGTTAGTGTATGGATCTCTCTGACATTGTACCACAAGGTTCCATATCACAAAGGGAATGCTCAGATTGATTTTGGGGGTAAAATTTTTGCCTCAAAATTTTAGGAATTAGGGGCTAAAAAAGGGGCAAAAAACAAGCATTTTTCTAGTTTCATGACAATAACTTGTGTGTAAGTGTATGGATCTTTCTGAAATTGTACTACAAGGTTCCATATCACAAAGAGAAAGCTGGAATTGAGTTTGGGGGTAATTGCCAAAATGTTTAGGAATAAGGGGCCAAAAAGGGGCCAAAAATAAGCTTTTTTCTAGTTTCCAGACAATAACTTGTGTTCAAGTGTATGGATCTCTCTGAAATTGTACTGGAAGGTTCCATATCACAAAGGGAATGTTTGGATTGATTTTGGGGGTCAATGCCTTAAAATTTTAGGAATTAGGGGCCAAAAAATGGTGGCAAAAAACAAGCATTTTTCTAGTTTCATGACAATAACTTGTGTGTAAGTCTATGGATCTTTCTGAAATTGTACTACAAGGTTCCATATCACAAAGGGAAAGCTGGAATTGAGTTTGGGGGTAATTGCCCAAATGTTTAAGAATAAGGGGCCAAAAGGGGGCCAAAAATAAGCATTTTTCTAGTTTCCAGACAATAACTTGTGTTCAAGTGTATGGATCTCTCTGAAATTATACTACAAGGTACCATACCACAAACGGAAGGCTGGGAATGATTTTGGGGGTAATTGCCTCAAAATTTTAGAAATTAGGGGCCAAAAAGGGGCCAAAACAAGCATTTTTGTCGAGCCTGTGACTTTTGTCGCAGAAAGCTCGACATAGGGATAGCGATCCGGCGTCGGCGGCGGCTACGGCAGCGGCGGCGTTAGCTAACTTCTTAAAAGCTTTATATTTTAGAAGATGGAAGACCTGGATGCTTCATACTTTGTATATGGATGCCTCATGTTACGAAGTTTCCGTCAGTCACATGTCCAATGTCCTTGACCTCATTTTCATGGTTCAGTGACTACTTGAAAAAAAAGTTCAGATTTTTTGTAATGTTAAATTCTCTCTTATTATAAGTAATAGGATAACTATATTTGGTATGTGCGTACCTTGCAAGGTCCTCATGCCCGTCAGACAGTTTTCATCTGACCTCGACCTCATTTCATGGATCAGTGAACAAGGTTAAGATTTCGTGGTCAAGTCCATATCTCAGATACTATAAGCAATAGGTCTAGTATATTCGGTGTATGGAAGGACTGTAAGGTGTACATGTCCAACTGGTAGGTGTCATCTGACCTTGACCTCATTTTCATGGTTCAGTGGTTATAGTTAAGTTTTTGTGTTTTGGTCTGTTTTTCTTATACTGTATGCAATAGGTCTACTATATTTGGTGTATGGAATGATTGTAAGGTGTACATGTCTAGCTGGCAGGTGTCATCTGACCTTGACCTCATTTTCATGGTTCAGTGGTCAAAGTTAAGTTTTTGAGTTTTGGTCTTTTTTTCTAATACTGCATGCAATAGGTCAGCTATATTTGGTGTATGGAATGATTGTAAGGTGTACATGTCTAGCTGGCAGGTGTCATCTTACCTTGACCTCATTTTCATGGTTCAGTGGTCAAAGTTAAGTTTTTGAGTTTTGGTCTTTTTTTCTAATATTATATGCAATAGTTCAACTATATTTGGTGTATGGAAATATTTTATGATCTATATGTTAGTCACTCAGGTTTTATTTGACCTTGACCTCATTTTCAAGGTTCATTGCTCAGTGTTAAGTTTTTGTGTTTTCGTCTGTTTTTCTTAAACTATAAGCAATAGGTCAACTATATTTGTTGTATGGAAGAATTGTTAGCTGTACATGCCTGCCTAGCATGGTTCATCTGATCTTGACCTCATTTTCATGGTTCATTGGTCAATGTTTAGTTTACTTGGTTAATGTTAAGTTTATGTGACAGTTGTAATAAAGCTTTATATTTAGGACTATCAACATAATATCAATGATTAGTAAAGAAGGCGAGACATTTCAGCGTGTGCACTCTTGTTCTAGTTTCAGGACAATAACTTGTTTGTAAGTGTATGGTTCTTTATGAAATTGTACTACAAGGTTCCATATCACAAAGGGAAAGCTGGGTTTGAGTTTGGGGGTAATTGCCTTAAATGTTTAGAAATATGGTGCCAAAAAGGGGCCAAAAAACAAGTATTTTTCTAGTTTCCAGACAATAACTTGTGTTCAAGTGTATGGATCTCTATGAAATTGTACTGCAAGGTACCATACCACAAGGGGAAGGCTGGGAATGAGTTTGGGGGTGATGAATCATAAGGGGGTTTAAAAAATTAGGGGGGGATTTTTTTTTCCTTTTTTTTTCTTTAAAATTTTCCATTTTAAATTGGTTATTTCTGATTTATATATAAAAGCAAATAATAATGATATGGTTTGAATAGGTAAATTAAAAAAATTTAAGTTCTTAGATAACATTCATTCTGTGTCAGAAACCTATGCTGTGTCAAATATTTAATTACAATCCAAATTCAGTGCTGTATCAAGCTTGAATGTTGTGTCCATACTTGCCCCAACTGTTCAGGGTTCGACCTCTGCGGTCATATCAAGCTGCGCCCAGCGGAGCATTTTATTGCTTATCAAATTGTTGCATTGGGTAAATTTTAACAGTCTGGCATGTATAATCTTGTTAAATACTTTTCCTAGGTTTGAACTGATAGAAATCCCTCGGTAATTTCTAGGGTCAGCCTTACTAACCTTTTTGTGATACAAAAATACAAGTCACAAAAGATTTAAAGTGATTTTGGTGTTAGTATAATACTGTCTAGATTTCAACAGAATGTGACTTTGCATGCATATTTATATAATTCACTCAGCAAAAAGGGACACCCATTGTGCTTTTATGGAATTGTTTGAGTTTTATCTGATTGTTCCAGATTAGGGAGCCTTCAACTTGCACTGTCATGCAATGTTTGAGTGTTTGCTTCATTTTTGAGTCCTCACTCATGCACCTATTTAAGATGAAAAACAGCAAAGAAGGTGCAAATCATTTGGGTTTTTTTTTGTCTCCTGTGCAATGCATTATGACCCTTAGAAATATTGATAATTTGGAAAATTGCATTGTTAGCGCTCTCATGTGTACAATTCTTTGCCAGATTTATATAAAACTTATATCATAGGGTTATACTTATGTTGTAGGTTTATATCAAATATGTCTGAGACAAGGTCGAAAATCAGTGCCGATTGATAATTTCTATTAGAGTTATGGCTTTTAGAAATATAAATAATATGGGAAATTGCATTGTTAGCCCTCCCCTGTGCACAATTCCTGCCAAATTTTTATGAAACTTATATTGTAGGTTAATATCAGCGATGTCTTGGATGAGTTCAAAAATAAGTGCCGATCACATTATTTTTAAAAGAGTTATGCTCCTTGGAAGTATTGATTATATGGAAATTTGTATTGTATAAAGCGCTCTCACTTGTCCAAATTTGCCAGGTTTTTAACAAATTCATATCAAAGGTTAATTATAAATAAGTGTAGTTGAATCAAACATTTTTGCCTAAATGGTTACTCAGATAATCTTTAGACCTGTTAACCATTAGTTAAGTTGATGTGTTGAGGCCTTATCTATAGTACTGTTTAAAGTACCATTTTTATGATACATTTCAAGACTTCGTTGATTTGCATTTCAGCATTTTTGAGTGGGCATTCACGTATGACAAAGCCTTGGACAATGGAGGTGGCATATATTTAGATGTAGCTCACCTTGCCTGTTGTTCGTCGTCTGTTAACTTTTACAAAAATCTTCTCCTCTGAAACTACTCTGTCATATTTTACAAAACTTAGTCACAATCATCATTGGGGTATTTAGTTTTAAAAAATGTGTCCGATGACCCCGCCTGCCAACCAAGATGTCCGCCATGGCTAAAAATAGAATATAGGGGTAAATACAGTTTTTGGCTTATATCTCTGAAACTAAAGCATTTAGAGTAAATCTAACAGGGATAAAAATATTCATCAGGTTTAGATCTATGTGCCCTGAAATTTTCAGACAAATCATGCCGACAACACGTTGGGTTGCTGCCCCTGAATTGGTAATTTTAAGGAAATTTTGCAGTTTTTGGTTACTATCTTGAATATTATTACAGATAGAGATAAACTGTAAACAGCAATAATATTCAGCATAGTAAGATCTACAAATAAATCAACATGAACAAAATTGTCAATTGACCCATTAAGGAGTAATTGCCCTTTATAGTCAATTTTTAACAATTTTTCATAAATTTTTGTAATCTTTTACAAAAATCTTCTCCTCTGAAACTACTGAGACAAATTTAACCAAACTTGGTCACAATCATCATTAGGGTATTTAGTTTGAAAAATTTGTCCGATGACCCCACCTGCCAACCAAAATGACCGAGATGGCTAATGGTGAGCAATACAGGCTCCTTGGAGCCTCTAGTTTTCCTGTACTATATGCAATAGATCAACTATATTTGGTGTATGGAAATATTTAACAATGTACATGTATGTCAGTCTTGCAGGTTTTATTGGACCTTGACCTCATTTCTCAGTGTTAAGGTTTTGTCAAGCCTGCGACTTTTGTTGAGAAAGCTCGACATAGGGATAGTGATTTTGTGGCGGCGGTGTTAGCTTACTTCTTAAAAGCTTTATATTTTCAAAGGTAGAAGACCTGGATGCTTCATACTTTGTATATAGTTGTCTTATGTTATGAAGTTTCCGTCTGTCATGTCTGTCCATTGTCCTTGACCTCATTTTCATGGTTCAGTGACTACTTGAAAAAAAGTAAAGATTTTTTGTAATGTTAATTTCTCTTTTATTATGAGTAATAGGATAACTATATTTAATATGTGCGTACCTTGCAAGGTCCTCATGCCCGTCAGACAGTTTTCATCTGACCTCGACCTCATTTCATGGATCAGTGAACACGGTTAAGTTTTCGTGGTCAAGTTCATATATCAGATACTTTTAGCAATAGGTCTTCTATATTTGGTGTATGGAATGATTGTAAGGTGTACATGTCTAA